AGCTGGTGCTGACATTGGGAAGCCCTGAGCGTCTCTTAAGCAGCCTAATTATGCTAAAGAAGGCCAGCAAGTCTCTTAAAATCACCTGTGGGTGATGCCTTGTTCACGGTTGAGTGAGGGTGGGTTGTTGAGGAACCCGACCTTGGGTGATGGGTGGGGAACATGGCTTGTGGTGGAGCCCACAGCCAAAGAGGGGAACCAAGAGAGGCCGTATGTGGAGCTTGTATCCACGGATCCCTTACCCATGTGCTTGTGCAATGGGTTGGCCTGAGTGTAGGGGTCTGCGTGTCACACTGGTGGCTACGAAAGCCCAGTGTTCGAGCGACCGCAGACAGAAAACCCTGAGGATTGGGCGATTACTCCCAGAGAAAAAAGAATCGCCAATCCAAGAGTGAGTGCATCCTGGGGGTGGATGCGGTGTGTGCCTTGTGGCCTACACCACAGCCAGAGAAGGCCAGGAGGCCTGATGGCTCCTGGCGTGTGACAGCAGATGCCTGCGTGGTTCCCCTCCCAGGGATGAGCAGTGTCTTCGGCAGCAGAAGTGGTGGCTCATCTGCTGGTGCCAATAATTGTCTTTTGCCACTTGGTTGGTGCCCTGCCTGGAATTATTTGTGTTCTGTTGTATTTTCTTTCAGTGGGCCATGGCTGCTGTGTTAGTGTTTGTTGAAAGAAACTTGTATATACTTGTATATAGATTGTATGGCAGAAAACCCTGAGGGGGTGGATTGTAGGGTAAAAATGGTTTTCAGGCTTTTCTGCCCTCCCACCATTAGGATTGCTCTGCCTTTTGGGGCACCTGCAGTTGTTACATTGTTGAAAGCTGTCTTATTTACTTCTGTGGGCCATGGGAGGAGTATTGAGATAGTAAATGAGAGAAGCAGAAGAGAGAAGGGGAGAAAGAAGCCAGAGAAGCTCAGAGTGAAGACTTTCCAGGGGCTTGGAGGCCTAACAGCCTCCTGGCCCCCTGCCACCCCTGCCTGCTGTATATCTGGTTGCTGCAATGCATGTAAAGCTCAATAAAATCCTGAGAAAGCCACCGAGGGTTCCAGAACTCCTTTACCCCATCTGCTTGGATCATAGGAAATCCTGCTCTGTGCCCACCCTGCCCCTATAAGTACAAATTGCACACAAGCCAGGAATCCACCTGGGCCATGCCCCAGGTGCAAGAAGTAAGGCCATGGGGAAAGGGATTGCCCCCTTCTCTGAAGGGAAGAGGGAACAGTCCCTCAGCTGTCAGCCCACCTCCTGGACTATGAGTGACAGGGCCCAAGGATGCACCGGCTCCCCAGCTGACTATCTCCATGACTGATCCTAGGGTAACCTTGGATATTGCAGGTAAAAATATTAATTTTCTGATTGATATGGAAGCCACGTACTCTGTACTCACCCAGCATTCTTGACACACCTTCCCTTCTTCACAAAATATAGTAGGTGTGTTCTTAACAAGAACATGTGTCTATTTGCAGGAGAAATGTTTCTTCTATGTTAATCAGAATGAACAAGTAAGTGCTGATAAATTAAAAAAAAAAATAAAAACTTCCAAGATCAAGCTAACAGGCTTGAAGAAAAATCCCTCCCTTGGGGCAGAATCTTCAGTGGGACTCTCTCATGGATAATGTCCTTCCTGAGACCCCTGGCTACTGTATGTCTAATCCTTATGTTTGGTCCTTTCCTCCTTAATCTCACTGTCAAATTTGTTTTCTCTTGACTAGGAGCCATCAAGTACCATCTTCCCCTACAAGAGGACCAGACAGTCCAGACACCTCATTCCTTGGACTCTATGTGCCTCCCTCCAACAATAGGTAGCTCAGGGACTATGGTTAGGGAGACCATATCCCAGGCCCTTTTATATAGGGCCAGCTCTATGTCCCACTCCAGCAGGAAGCAGCTACAGAAAATGGACCTCCTTCCTTCAATTTCCCAACAGATTTTGGGCTGGATATGGTCAGAGGGGTGGGGGTAGGGAGGAATGATGGAGGAAAGAATAGAAAAACAAAAGGAGGCATCACAAGACCAGAACCTGACTCATACAAGGAGATGGGGGTAGAGGGAAATAACATGATCTCTGGTCTCTTTTTGATTCTGCATAGTTGTCCAAAATTGGCAATAATCTAACCACTTGCAAAGATGAGCCCCTCCTTACCAAAAAAAAGAGGATAAAACCCAACGCTGCATCCACAAAGGGACAGCTCTGTCTGCTTACATCAATGCAAGTGTCCTTCATTCTTCTGTCCCCTTTTCCTAATAAACCTGTTCTTTAAAATATAACTAACATCTCTGTCTCATGGAGAAACTCGCCTGGGAAACTTCGCCACGCGCTACTGAAAGGGAAGCTCTGGTGAAACATTTCCCAGAGTGAACCCAAGGACCCTGCACTCCAAACCCACTGACTTCAAAAACTACATCATTAGCAGACTTTTCTTTATTGCCCTTGTCCAGGAACATCAGCTGTCCCTGTTTCTGGGGTGTTTGGTTAACCCCCTTTGGAAGTTGTCCTTATCTCTGGAGCTTCCCTTATTCGTTTTGTTTCCCTTATCTCAGAAGTCTCTTTATCTCTCACCAAACCCCAGCCTGCTCTGTCCCTGACTGCCTAATTAACCCTAACTTGCCCTAGGACTCATAACTTTCTTTTTCCCACCTCCACCCCCATATATGAACCTTACGCTCCAGATACCTTGGCCCGCTAGCCCATTCCTTTCTATAGGCACTGTGCCCTCTCCATCAAAGCCCATACCCTTCAAAGTTCTGGCAAATTCAGTTACCTTTTGCATTGATAAGGTTGCACCATATCAATGTTGAGATTACACCATATCCATTCCTGTATTATAATAGCGTTCTACACTGTAAATAATGGGTTTTACATTTTAGTATATCCTGTTCTACAAAGGCAAGCACCAGCCTTTATTTTTGCCACCCCCAGTGCTTCCATCAATACCTCCTTCACTGACCTGAAAAGTCTGAGTCCACTAACCATAGAATGGAGGGTTGGAAGGAAGGAGGGCACTCCTCAACCCAGCATCTCCCAGCTTTTGCAGCTGCTCCCTCCTTGCTCTCACATTCTCACCATCCTCACCTTTTGTCTGAATGCCAAAGCCGCTAATCCTCAGGCAGCAAATGGAACACTCAACATCTTAATAGCGAATTAAGTGGCCTGTTTCACTTCAGCTCTTAGGTGTCCAGTAATTGTTGACTTCTTGTAACTGTCAGATTTAATAATTTAATGAGGTTAAATACTAAGCCCTCACTCCAGGTTCACAGTTTTGGGAGGCTGTAATAGATAAGGGAATTGATAAGGCTGGCTTAGGGACAAGGTCATAAACCTGACCACCATGACCAGGAAAACTAGCTAGGCTCCAGGAATGCAGAAGCAGGACCTGGAAATGTTCCTAGCTGAAAGGCCAGTGCCCAAGACCAGACATCCCAGCAGAAAACTGGTGCAAACTGATCCAAATTAGTCATAGGGCAAGCGGATAGCTTCTAGGGTCATAATAGAATAGGAAAAAGACTGAGGAATAAGGAAGTCTCCAGAGATAAGGGCAACAAATTTCAAAGAGATTAATCAAACACCTCCTAGATTATGTACATTCCTGGACAAGGGCAATAAAAAGTATTCTAAGATAAGGGCGAGATGCAAGATGTAATTCTGGGCACAGAAACATTAAGACAGAGTGAGACCACTGAAAATACCTGGGGATTAGTGGCTTTGGCATTCAGGCATTCAGTCCCTAAAATGGAGACCACTGAGAATTAACCAATCACAAAGAGACTGAGGGACTCTAGCATATTAGGGAAATAAGCTATATATATTCCCTGAGGCATGACTCCAGGGCATCTCCCTTGCCCCTCCCTGGCCTGGTCCACCAGCCTGGGAGTCCCACTTTTTTTTCTGTTCCTTTTCTCCTTGTAGGGGCAGGATAGGCACAGTGCAGGTTTTCTGATCCAGCAGATGGGTAAAGGAGTGTCCTGGAGCCCTCCCTGGCTTTCTCAGGCTTTTATTAAGCTTTTACATGTAGTGCAGCAACAAGGTACACAGCAGGCAGGGGTGCGGGGGTAGGGGGGCAGAATGCTGGGAGGCCTCCAAGCCCCCCCACCCCAAGTCTTCACTCTGGGCTTCTCTAGCTTCTCTCTTTCCTCTCTTCTGCCTCTCTCCTGCTTCTGCTTCTCTTGGTGACTATCTCAATACCCCTCCCATGGCCCACAGAGGTAAATAAGACAATTTGCAACAATGTAACAAATGCAGGTGCCCCATCAGGTAGGGCAATCCTAATGGTGGGAGGGCAGAAAAGCCTGAAAACCATTTACCAAACCATTTACCCCACACTCCTCAATAAACTTTCCCTTATATCCCTATGTGTAAACAGATTTGCCTCTTTTTCCTTGCTTAAGAATCAGTGACGTTCCTTCTGCGGCTACATGAGACACCAAACCGTGGTGGTCTAGTGGCTAGGTTTCAGCGCTTCCTCTGCAGCCTGGGATCCGTTCCTGGCTCAGAGACTAGACCTGAAAGCCTAAAATTACAGTATCATCAAGTTAGTCCACGAAAACAGGATAAAAGAGAGCCTCAAATCCTCCTTTGCAGGTAGACTTCTCCCATCTCCCCTGCTGTTTGTCATAGCAGTGTATTTCAATAAGTGTTTCTTTTTTGTTCTCCACTCTGTCTCTGGTGAATTGTTTCACACTTCCCCTGCAGCCTCACGCGGACATTTCTCCCACAACAGAACCTTTTGGAGGAGGATTCCTGTGGGGGGGGTGGTGGTGGTGGTGGTGAGTATGTCCTCATTTCTCCTGTTGCCTTCTGAGTATTTTTTCTGCCCAGGGGCCAGACTATTATCACCATTCCCTTGCACTCCTCACAGCCTTTGACATAATTATCCATGACAAGTTGATTTAAAGCGCAGCTGCTGGAAGAGAAACATGTCTTGCTTGGCCTTCTGGGAGTTGTAGTCCTGCAGGCCCCCGGGCTGCCTGGCTGACGGTGCAGCTTCAGACTACAGCTCCCAGGCCTTCTCCGAGTCCTTCCCGCACAGGCTCAGAATCCCTTGCTCTGAGGAGGTGGTGACATTGTGTCTATTGTATCCTTGGATTTGTCTGTTTGTACATTTCTCCGTTCCTGAAATTAAGAGTTAAAAGCATGGCAGATGAACAAGAAATCATGTGCAAATTGGAAAGCATTAAAGAGATCAGGTAAGTGGAACATTACCGCACCCCATTCCCCAGCCTCCACGAACCGTCCCCCTCCCAAATCCCTCCCGGTGAGAAATGGCTGTTACCCTGGGAAAGTATCTATTGTTGGACTGCTTGCCTGGGCCTGGGGGGCGGGGGCCTATTTTCCTCAATCTGGGCTGGAGGGAGGCTGGGAAGATTCCGAACAGGGACTCCTAGAGAGAGAAAAACAATGAAACCTACAGAGTGAGAATTTTTGTCAGATATAGCAGAGAAAGCCAGATGGAGACACACAGAGGATGGGGGAGGGGCGGGCCGGCGCCAGCTTTATTTCTCTTTCAGTGGAAGTTGGGGGACCACATTCTTTGACGCATTAATTTTTAAAGTGTTTGTTGACTTCAAGTGTACTTGGCTGCTTGCTCTTTAGGAGTACACATTTTTTTTTCCAGTTTCTGCCTCAACTTCAGGACCTGGAGCTACGGGGAACATTTTGAAAGTAGAGTCTAGTGCATTAGGGCGGGTGGCCACTGCCTGAAGCAGCGGGGTTAGAGAGGGGTGGCCCGGTGGAGTTTGGGCAGGAATGCCAGCTGGATGGGTCTGGAAGTGCCTTTGGAAGTGTGCTGGTGACAGAAGGACTTCACTCCTGCCTGTGATTTCTTTTTGCTTTCACTCATCACTTTGTTCCTTTCCTATCAGGGGCTTGGGGAAGCTTACAGGAGCGATGGAGAGTGGGGAGGTAGTAGCGAAGTCTACGGTGGAATCCAGAGGCAGGTCTAAGGTTCTACAGGAGAAGGGCAGGCAGAGGGAGGTTCGTTGGTCCAGAAACTTTTCTCTCCATTTTCTCCCTATGTTGTCTGTGCTTAGAACAAAATAGCACCTGGGAAGTTGGCTTACATCAGGCGTTTCTTTACCTGCCCTCTTTTGCTTGAGTCCCCTTCCTGAACTTCCACCCTTGTTCTGATGGTGGCCTGGGTCAAGCTGTCTCCCTTAACTGTTTTCCAGGAACCTGGAGCAAAAGAATGAAGGATATCAAGTGTGTCTCTTTTAGAAATGAAGCTGACCAAGAGGTTTGGCATGCTAAATTTAAGTGCCTCCTTAAGACTCACAGGTGGTGGTAGTGGTTGATGGGGGTGGTCATCGTGGTAGTGGGGAAACACCTTATTTTTGTCCTTGGGAGGGGTTGCTTCTCTACTTCTGCAATGGAGTACAAGGAAGGGAACGATTATTGAGCTGTTGGTGTGCCAAGCCCTTTGACCTATTGCAGCAAAAGTTCTGATAGGTTCCTACACTTCTTTACACGTGGGAAGTGGAGGCACAGAAAATTTAAGCAACTTCCAGAGCCAAACAACATGAAAATGCAATTTGATAGTAACCCAGTCAGTCTGCATGCAGAGATTTTGGTCTTACCACTCTAGTGCATGGAGGGTCCAGGAAAAGTTGGAGAAGGGAATATGTTGCAATTTTTTTTCTGGAAAAGCATCAGGAAATAGGGAGTGAGATACCATGGTTCAGGAAAAAAAAAAAAAAAAAAACAGCTGTTATGATCACAATGCAAGCTTAGGTTGGCAAATTGAGAAACAGTACTTTAACATTACTGGACTTTAGAGGAACTTCTGCCTCACCACAAGAGTAGGAAAAGTTGGGAGCAAGGAAGAGTGATCCCTCCCAGTGGAGGCCACCTGGAGAGCCATGACTTCTACCCTCACCAGAGGTAAACTAGGCATTCCTTAAAAACTGTTCAAACAGTGTCAAAGGACAGTGCCAATGTGGGGACAGGTCACAGTGGGTTCTCACCCACGTGCTAACAATTGCAAAAACACTCAGGCTCGGGGAATAACAGCAATGGGTTTTATTTAACAAACAGGATATTAGGAAAGGGGAAAGTGTTTCTAAGGCCACTAGTGGCTATTTCACCCCAGATTGTGTCCACAGTGCTCAGTAGACTGAAACAAAGGCCATGCATGCAAGATTGCACTGTCCTGTCAATGAGGTCCTGGAGCTGGTGGCAAACTGGTAAGCTGTGGGCAGGATCCAACTTCTGGTGGCAGCTGGAGGTGCTGAGGTGATGGTGTAGCAGCCCATAGCAACATTCTGAAGGCCAGGCTGGATAGCACTGGATGCTGGACCAGACAGCAATCTAGGCAACAGTACTGAGAAGACAGTGCTGGACAATCCTTAGGAGTAGAGAGCTCTCAAATGTGACCAGACACAGAGTGCTGGTCACCAAGAAATTGTGTCAAGCATGCCTGTGTTAATGGCTCGTTGTGACACCAGTCCCAAGACCATTGGTTCTCCTTGCAGGCAATGTCAGAGGCAGGGCTGGAAACAGGGCTAGAGGCAGGTGCAGTAGCCAGGTCTTTGTGAAGATATATGGAGGCCTGCTGAATCCCACAGATTGACTATTCACTGCTGCTTTTCTTTGGAGGCTGGTTGCCGAGTCCTTCTGTTTTCAGAGGGTGGGAATAGAATGAATTCATGCTGACTTTGCTCTGCCTTATAGCCTCTTTCAGAATCCCCCACCCTACAAGCCTGATTGGACCATTTAGCACAAATCAGGTACCTTCTATTTTTCAGTCTGAATACTTAACTCATCCCCATGAATGAAACTGAGCTTGAACCTGATTAATCCATTTAGCTTAAACCTGGTTGTTCCATTTATGATCCTGGCTTCAAATACAAAAGGGGAAAAGCCCACTCCCTGTGGAGACTGACTTACATTGAGGCCAGGGCAGGATAGAGGGACAGAGGGTTCCAGTTTCATTCCTTCTACCAGCTGGCCTAGTTTCCTCAGAGGCCTACAGAGGAGGCTGAATGACCACCCCAACCAGAGTAACAACAAACCCCTCCACAAACTGAATGTCAGCCAGAGCCCTGTAGAGAATCCGGACTTCTGCTGTTCCACTGCTGGTCAAAGGAGGCCTGCAAAAAACCAAGTCTTAAAATAAATTCAGAGTTTCCAAATTTAATTTAAAAATTCACTTGACATACCAAGATATCAACTAATAGCAACAGAAAGTAAATGGATACCAACATTGGGCCTCCCCGGTGGCACAGCGGATTGAGCGCAGTGCTGAGAAGCTGTCAGCAGCCTCTGCAGCGCTGATTCGATTTCCAGCTGGCCAGGGAGATTCCCACATTGCACCGCAGACCTCTCCTGTCTCTCCCGCTGCTCCCCTCAAGTAGTGCTTTCGGTCCTTCTGCCTGTTCTGCTACATGCTTTGTCTCTGGTGAATTCTCTCACCCTCTCGTGTCTCTGGCCTGTACCCCAGTGCTTGTATAAATAAATAAATCTTTAAAAAAAAAGGTTTATGGGCCTCCCCGGTGGCGCAGCGGTTGTGCGCTGGGTTGCGAAGCTGCCCACAGCCTCTGCAGCGCCGGTTTGATCCCCAGCTGCTCCCCGGCCACCGGAGGAGGGTCCCGCATGACGCGCAGTCCTCTCCTGCCGCCCGCTGCTCCTCTCAGCAGTGTACTTCGGTCCTTCTGTCTGCTCTGCTCCCTGCTCTGGCTCTGGTGAATTCTCTCACCCTCCCGCGCTTCTGACTGTACCCAGTGCTTGCATAAATAAATAAATCAATCTTTTAAAAAAAAAGGTTTATTTTGAAAAATTGATGCCAACATTGAGATGGCACAGATGTTAGAATTATCTGAAAAGGGTTTTAAAGCAGCCATCATAAAAATGCTTCAGTGAGCAATTGCAACAAATGATAAAATAGAAAATCTCAGCATATCCATGGAGTCTAGAGTCTCAGCAAAGCAACACAAAACATAAAGATGAGCCAAATAGAAATTTGAGGACTGAAAAATATGATAGCCGTAATTCAATGGATGGCCATAACAGTTAAATATAAAACAATAGAAATCACCCAATCTGAGCAATAGGCGGAAATTAGATTGAGAGAGTAAATAGTTGAGGGAAAATAGAATGTCATAAAATAAAATAAATGTTGATTATAAATGGTGTAAACATACCAATTAAAAGAAAGAGTGGGGTTATTATGAAAGCCATTTCACAGTGATATGCTGTCTAGAAGAAATGTACTTCACATATAATGATATAGATAGCTTTTTCCCAGTAAAAGGCTCGGAAAAGATACCCATGAAAACATAAAAGAAAACAGGAGCAGCTATATTAATATCAAATAAAGCAGATTTCAGAGCAAAGAAAATCCCCAGAGACAGAAAGGAACATTAATGAGAAAGGGCCAATCCACCAGAAAGACTTAATATTGATAATTTCAGATGTAATGTGTAAAAAGTGATTTGAATTAGCTTGCTTTGACAACTTCACAGTCGTATACAAGGTTAAATCACTTGGTTTAAGAACTTAAAATGGGGAAAGTACTAAAACACATACTTGATATTCATATGCAGACAGTAAACATGTATGGGAGGTTCAGAGAAGGAAGGATCAAAAGAAGGGGTTGAAAGAACTGAAGAAAGGAATATTTGTTTAGCATTTACTAATTTCAAAGTTTTTGTATTTTTCTAATGACAGGCGGTGATGAAATTATTATCCCATTTTACAGATAAGGATACGAGACTCAGGTTAGGTAACCTAACACAGCTATGGTTTATGCGTTTCAACAAATGCTGACAATTTATTCATTATTCGTTGTTTTTTTTTTTTTTTTTCAACTTTTCTAATCCTAAATCCTTTAAAGTATAAGCAGAACAGCCCTATTTATGTTTTAAAAAAATCAATAACTTACCTCTAAACTGAAGTAATACTGATGATGGCAGTATCATCTAAAGACCTGATTTAGTCAAGCTGAAAATACATACATACACATAGACCTGAAAAAGGAGCCCTGCTGCTTGGCAAGACCAACTCTTTCCCACAGCCACCTGAGCAGTGCAGCCATTGGAGAAGGGTGGTGGTTTCCCGCCCACCCTCGAAGTTGCTGTATATGGGCAGCTACTGCCCTGGCACCAGCTTAAATCCCTCAGCCCCTGAGGCTCCAGTCTTGGTGGCAGTGGCCACCCAGAGTGTTGCCTCTGGGCAGCATCCAGGCTGCCCTGCA